AGTCATCCTTGCTTCAAAAATTGCTGGGGTTTTTTGGCTTTTTGTGTGTGTGCCTGTGAGTATATGATAGCATAGGCCATCTGCATTAGAATCACGCTACGTAAGCTATTGATGCTTTTTCCTACAGAGAATGCATATTTCTGCCAGCTTAATTATGATGTGTGTATTTTGCTCAGGTTTCAGTGTTGCATCATTTTGCATTGAGTAGCAAAAGTTCTGCTGTCCACTGATCAATGTGACGGTCTTTAGTAGTTTTACGAGATGAGCCAAACTCGTGGAAGATATGACTTCTATATTGGTCTGGTGTTGGCTATGAGTTCCAGCATTTTCATCGGGGGAAGTTTCATCCTGAAAAAGAAGGGCCTCCTCCGGTTAGCTAGGAAAGGCTCCATGAGAGCAGGTAAACACATGTTTAAGAAACTTGCTGCCATTTCAACTTTACTGTTTAACAGAAGATTAGTAAATTTCTCGTCTTGTTTTGACATTTTTGTTTGTTACAGGCATCTGAAACCTAAAACGTGCAGCTGATGTGTTTTTCCTCTGGTGTCAGATACACACCTAACTGTGATAATGCTATTTAATTTGCATGTTATGCCTTCCGGGGACATTTGTTGAACTATTTTTTTGCACGTCAGTTAAGTTTGAATCGTCCTTGCAAGTTGAACTTGGAACCAGGAGTCTCTTACCTATCTCTCTCTGCTCCTGAAAGAATGATTTTAAAGAATGTAACTGCATTTGCGTGTCAGAACATTGTTTTAGGCAACTAAGAATCATATATTTCTCCTGAAAAGTCTATTAAATAGAGTTGCTGAGGAATTTTAAAATGAGCCAGGAAGATTCAAAACAGAGTTTAGTTTCAGTTATGGGTTAATATTTTACTAAAGCAGAAAAAGCCATTTTGGTGGACTGCTGTGTACAATTTCATCTTTGTTTTGTTGAACTGCATTTAGTAATATTAAATAGCTTTTAGTCTAGCTGATTCCATTTTGGGAACTAATTTTCACCCGTTTGCTGATATAGTTGATCCCAACAGTAAAACACTGACTAGTGCTAGCTCGTTTTCTTTCCTATAGCTGATTCTGTATTTGGTAGATGAGATGCATGCCTGAGTTCCATCTGCCACAGAGATAGACTCAGCCTACAAGAGATTTTACAAGCCCCCGTCATCCCCCCCCACCTCAGCCCCCTTGAATATATGCAAGAGAAGGGAGTGAATGTTACGCTAGGTCAGAGCTGCAAAAGAATACTGGGTTGGGAAGAGTGTGCTCCTGGTAGCATTATAAGAATGATTACCATATCCTTAGATCACTCAGAAGATTGAATCTGAATATTTTTAATTCAGTACCTGTCATCTCTGCTTCTAAAAGATGGTTGATTTTGAACGGGATGCAGAATACGTACTCCCTGTTTTGGAGGGGGAAAGTGTCACTACACTGCACACATTTGTACGTTTAATCGGCCATGTAGGTTGAGCAGTATTTCCAGAAAGTGGGTCGGTCTTAAGAAACATGTAATTTGGACTTTCATGTCATGAAAGTGAGTTGAAAGAATTCTTTTTCAGGGTAAAGCAGATAAGGTCACCAGTGCCATTTCCAATGCAATTGAAATAAGTAGTTTTCAAAGAGGTTGTTCAAGGCACCTGCACATCTAAATGAAGATGAGATGATTTCAACCTCTTGCTATAGATTTTAAGTATCAAAACACTGCCCATCTTTTTAGGGGCATGGACTGCGAAAATTATTTTGGTGACGTTATCAGTAATAATGCTTAGTGTTTGCCTGCCTATATTTTCAATAGAGTAATAACCATTCTTTCAATTTTAGGTCAAGGTGGCCATGCATACCTTAAAGAGTGGCTGTGGTGGGCTGGACTTCTTTCAAGTAAGTATCAAAAATATAATTTGTATTATATAATTTAAAGAAATGACTATGCCATAAATGGCAGCAGTGGTTGCAAGAAATGAGCAAGACAGGAAGTCTACAGTATATGGCAAGATTCTCTGGTTATTTGATGGATGCAGCTCTAATGATTTTAACAACTTCTCTCATATCAGAAGCTCTTTCATTAACTTTTTTTTTTTTTTCCCCCTCTATGTTGGGCAGTGGAGCTAGGCAGATTTCTTATTTCTCTTGCACTAGCATATGCATTTTATTTTTTGTCTTAGCACAGAAGCGTTTGTTTAGATATACAAAATTCTTTATAGGGAAGCATATTTATGAAGGTTG